ATGTTATTCTATTGGAGAAAACAACTGAATATCAGAAGTACTAATGCAGAGTAAAGAAAACAAAGAGAGAAAAAGATAAAGGCAAAAGTGCAGAAAAAAAAGACAAAAATAGAAAATAAAAGCTTCCTATGTCCTTAGCTTTGAATACAAATATAATTCCAAAATTATCTGTGATTACAAAAATGATCTTTTTTTTATTATCTATTTTTTTCTAATCATCAAAAATTCTAGTTACAAATACATTTTTTTTCTGTTTCATGCAAAAAAACCTCTAAGGGGTTTCCAGTCAGTCCAGTCTTTTCTCTAATCAAGGAAGTCAATTTAGCCTTGTCTGCAAGTTCCATCATTTTCACCAATCATGTCTTTATTCTTGGTTACGTTAAGCCTTCCCACTTTTGAGCATTTTGTAATCTCCCTGCAACAGTCATATATAAAAAACAGAATTCCATGACTTTTTTTCTCACTCTCTGTCCATTCATCCTGAAGCCTCCGGTTTTAATCGTACCTGAGTCTTGTGAATTTGTCTAGGTATTTGTATCCTAGATTTTTGGAGCTTTTGTTTTTCCAAATAGCCAGATGATCAGAACTGCAGATTCTACCAATAAAATTAATGTTTCAATTAAGGCTGGTGTGGAGGCATCAGGAAGGAGGTTATAAAAGCTTTGTTATGGTTTTTGATCCTCCTTCTCCATAACTTGTCTTCTAAATTCATCTTCTAGGGGACGAAGGATATTTGAAAATGGAATTGGGGCATTCTTTCAATTAGTGGGTAGCCAGTTTCATACAGACACATTTCATTAGCATTAGTCATTCAGGTTTATTGTACATGTACAGGAAATAACAGTATCACAAACCTATAGTGTTGGTTTTAATTATATACAAACTTTTACAAATTTCTTTGGGCTCAGAGTGATTAAGTAACCTCTACTATTGTGCCAATGGCACATTTTATTAATAATTTCTGCTTTAATTTTACTGCTTTTCTTTTCTGTAGCCTCAGCCTCCTACTCAATTCAATATTTGCCATAAAAATTAAATGCCATCCAGAATATAAACGAAGGACTAACAAGGACTCAACCATTGTAGAGATTCTTCTTCAGAAAGATGCCAATGATCTACAGTGCAAATTCTTGCTTCTTGGTAAGCATTATAACTTATCAAGAAGCATCACTTTTAAAACTTGCCACCATTTAACTTGGTACTTAAAGGCTTTTAATGGAAAAACAAACAAGCTGGAGGGCAAAAATAAAACAACATGAAATTCATTGCTTCTCATGAGACATCTGGTGCAACACTTCTCACAATTTCTTCCTGGTGTTGGTGTGATTTTTTCCCCTCGTTATGGCTCAGTAACCACATTATTATAGGCTGGTGGAAAACGTTGATTGGGTTCACATGTGACTGTTGCATCTCTGTTGACTTGGTAAGGCACAAAAACCAAGGTTGGCTGTAACAGAAAACAATACTTATGCACAAAAATACGGATTGTGTCTTTGGGGGTATCTTACTCCAGGGAGGAGGAATAGTTTCCCCAGTTGTATATTTTTAACTTGAGCACTGTGCTTGCCTGGAATAAGCTGGGGGCCACAACTTGTTCTGCCCCAGCTATGGATCCCAAAGAACGCAGCACACACAAAGTCCATACAAACCTTAGTTTATTAATTAAGGACTACTAATGAGCTTTCTTAGTAGTTGTTTGAACACAAGTAAAGTTTAAATCAGTCTTTTCTGAACAAGGGCTGTTAATTTAACTTCAATAACAGCCGACAAGAATCCAAAGAATAATAACTCAATTCTGAGGCACAGTATTTCAGATAACCGTAATCTTACTGTGGTTGGCAGAATGCCCAGAAGCAATTTGCAGGAAAACTAACAAGAGAGAAACAAGAGCCAAATCAAACGTTTCTGGAATCAAGACACGAAGGAATATGAACGAAGTTGTTTCCTGCAAATTGCATCAGTCGTTGTCCTTCCTTAAATAGGCTAGGGGAGTGGCCAATTAGCCCCAAGCCTTACTCTCGAGGAAACCTCCTCCTAAGGAGCCACTCTTGCCTTTTAACAGCTCTGCGCACTCGTGCATCGAGAAGAGGCTCCTCCTCTTCTTCCTCCTCTTCACTTATGGCAGCTTCTGGAGGTTCTGAAGGCCCTGGCTCAATCCATGCCTCTGGCACCACATCTTCTCCAGCCTCCTCATTGTCTGACTCGAGCGCCAGCTGCACAGGCTGCTGGTGCAGCACCACACCAGCCTTCTCGCTGTTGTAATCAGCTACTGACTGCACAGGCCACTGACGGGCCACAACACAACTATAGATTGAAACCTTTGAGAGCTCAAAACCCTGATAGAGAATTTCTTAAAACTATGAATTAATATCCAAAAGATATAGTTTCTAGCCATTTAAGCATCTTTGTCTGATCAAATCTGCCCACCTGGTCCAGACATAATAAGAACTGCTAAAACTATTATCCAAGGATCAAATATTTACCTGGTTATTAGCACAGCAATATGTCTGGCACCCAAAGTGTGCGAATGAAACAGTGATACAAAATTCCAGCAGGCTGAACAAGAGCAGTACAGTAGAGAGGCCAGCATCAATGGCATTCTGTGGAGTATAGAGACATGTGTAAAGATACAGTTGTTATTTGCTGAGAAATTAGTCCATGTATGCGTTACAGTTGCACCATTAAAAGAATCTTCCAGCTGCTTTCTTGGACTCACTGGGAGGAAGAACTGTACGGTATCCCAAAGGAAAATTACCGATGTCGCTGAGAATCAAATGTGAATTAGCTGCTTATAAATATTTGCACAAGAGCACACCTTTTGAGCCTACACACACCACAAAAATCTGTTCATGTGGGATAAAGTGGAGAAGAACAGTAATTCTTAAATTGTTAGTTCTATAGATGCAGAAATTCACAGCTACCCAAAGTCATTTGCCCAGATATGCATAGAATCAAGGAGCTTCCTCGATGACAGATGTTTAAGACAATCAGAAAACCATGATCCTCATTCAGAGGTGATCAGATGGGACTCCCTCATTTGAAATTTAGGGATATAAAATTCTTTCTACTCATAGAAATATATGAATTTTGGCAAGTATTTATAAAAACAAGCAAACCAGACTTAAATCGCCCATTTGGTCTTCCCAATGTCAGTAGCTCTATCTAACATGCCAAAAACCAGGATAATTTTGCCTGCTGTGTAATTATTAAATACGAGGGACCCAATTCAATTGAACTCAAATAAACTTAGACTTTTAATATCATCTCAATAAGGTTGTGCTTCATTTATTGCTACAATCTTAACTTCTATGAGTTAGCTCAGGATTTTGCAACTTTGGCCTGTTTAAGTCATGTGGAGTTCAACTCCCAGATTTCCCTAGATAGCACGGATAGGAAAAATTCTGGGTGATGTTAAACAGCTATAGTACCTCAGAACAGCACGGGACAACTTGCTGTGGCCAACTCGGGGGAGACAACTTGCTGTGGCCAAATTGCAGTGACCAAATTCACCATGGCCAACTTGCTGTGGCCATAGCTAACTCACCATGGGACAATTTGCTGCAAGATTCGTGTAAATCCTTTTATTTTCATTGACCATGTTTTCATCAAAATTATTTGATTTCTTGTTATCAAAGGAAATCATAACTATCAGCTTTTGTAATGCTTTGATGATGAATAATAAAAGGAAGTAGTCCCATAGTGAATTATCCTGTGTGAATTGTTACACAGTTCCTGAACACTCCTGTCAAAAGCCTTGCATTATGGGGAAATGTTAAAAGGGCAGTTAGACTAATGAGCATATGTGCTAGTTTGGTGTTTGCAAGTTATTATTAGACGTATATTTTGCCTTGTTTTTTATACAGCATGCGTTGGTATGCATCAGGCCCTTACTTCTGTTTTCCCACAGCAGCAACCTTGGTAGGTGGGTTGGGCTGAGAGGAGAAGTACATGCCTCTGGGAGAACTAGAACTCACAGCCTCCTGGCTTCTAGTCCAGCACCTTAAACACTACAATAAAGATGTCAGCCGCGCTTTATCTCTAGGCTACACTTTTATTGGGAGTGTAGCACTCCCGTAGCTCTTTATCCAGAGTTGTTGAAGCTTTACAACCAGTGCAAGATTTAAACCTGGGATATGTATCGTAATTCATTTTTCAGTAAGAATAGAGATGTACAATGAGGCTTAAGAAAAAAGGAAAGGATCTTTAGTATTGAGTGTTGTTTAAGATGGAGCCATTGCCTAGTTCTGGAGTGCAGCTCATTAATGAGTTTTTGAAAAGTGGGTAGGTCAAGGCTTCATCAACATTTAAATCTCTCTATCTATTTTGATTCGTTGCCCAACACCTAATCCTTTTTCCAAAGCCCAATGTAGTTTCCCTACCATTGGCTAAAGGCTAAAAACAATAAATGGGACCAGGTCAATAAGTAAGCTTTATGAGGGAGCAGGGATTTGAACCTTGGAGTGAGCAGGACTATGAACCATCCCTATGATCAATAAGAGAGGGCTGGCTTTCTCATGCCCAGCAACTCGGTGGTGCATTTCAGCACTGGTATGCAGCTTTTCCCTTCTCATTAAATAATCAGAATTCATAGCCATCTTTTGTATCTCAATCTTGAGGAAATAAGGGATTTTTGTAGCCTGTGAATATAAAGAATTACGCTTAATAGAAGGACTATGTCTAATATCCACACATTTTCACTTATCAGACCACTTTGCAGCCAATTCTATTCTAGAGAATCTCATCCTTAGGAAATCTCAACCTCTCTGTAAAATCCATGCATCCAGAATTTGTTGCCTTTCTGGTGTTTTCATCTTTGTTTTGAAATGGATTCAAAAGAACAAGAGGCAACAGCTTTATCATAGTTTCTCCTTCCTCTCTCCCTCCTTCCCTCTGCACCCAGGAAGGGATGAGAGGAGGGGGAGAAGATGGCAGCCCTGCCGGTGGACATAGCTTTCCCATGCAGGAGTGGGTCAGGGGCCATCCTGGTGAAAGGGAAGTGCTCACAGGCTGCAGAGGCAGCAGGCCATAGAGGCAGTGGAAGCACTGGTGAGGTGCCCAGGCTGGCTGGCACGCAGCTGACCTTTGATGAGCACTGTCTTGCCCCAGCAGCAGCACTGTTCCCACCACCAGCACCCGGCTGGGATGGGATGGGCCAGGGTCAGGGCTGAGGTGGTGGCAGCTGCCTCCTTGGTGTCTCCAGGGAGGCCCTGCAGGCCAGATCTAACCAGGGGTGAAATGTTACCAGTTCACACCAGTTCAGGCGAACCAGTAGCGGCAGGTGGTTCAGAGAACCAGTAGCGATGGCAGTGCAAGGCTCTGCCCACCCACCTGGATGTCATTACTTCCTAGTTTTAACCATGAAGTAACCTATTTTTTACCCAAAAGTCCAAAATTGCACATGATGCATGCACGCACTTCCGAACTGGTAGGGAAGGTAAATAGGATCTAACCACATCATGGGCCAGATGTGACCCACCGGCCTTGAGTTTGACATGTCTGGCTTGGAAGAATCACTACATATACAGATGACATGTAGTGATTTTTCTAAGCAGATGTATTATTTTATAGGGAGAATCTTGCCAAACTGCAAACTACCTATATGAAGCATATAAATTTGGTACTCTTAGGGAGGGGTTGTCTTCATCCTCTTTCTCTCACATGTAAGTTTCTTATTCCTCTGGAATGCAACTCCTCCCACCTCGAAATCAGGCCCAGTACATTCCATCAACGCTTATTCAAGCAAGGTTAAAAGATATAGAATTTTCCCTCATTAAATCTTATTGGTTTTTCTTTTTATTACAACAGGACTGAATGATGAGGTTTTAAGGATTTGTTAATAGATACAATAGGAAAGAAGAGAATTTTGTTTGTGTCTTTTTAGAGAAAATGATAATCTATGATGTTAAAATTCAAAGAAAGTTTTTAAACTTGGCCCCTGATTAAGGTTACAATATTGATGCTATTTTTAATATATATTAAACTTATAAAGGAGTTTGACAGGAAGCAAACAGAAAATGATTAGAAATTAATTCTTTGAGATACTATTTGAAAGGATTAAAAATAATGGTTTTAGTATGTAATTGCTTCTCATAGTTCTTAATGGAATTTTGAATGATGACTAAGTTTGAAATATGAGACTTTAAAAATTTATAACTAAGAGATAATATATGAGAAAAAAAATTGTTGTATGTTTAAAGAAAGTTATAAGTTACTGGTAAAGAAAGTAAAGGAAGATGAAGTTGATTTGTTTAATGTTAAAATATATTTTATTCAGTGGTGGGATTCAGCCGGTTCACACCAGTTCAGGAGAACCGGTAGCTAACTTTCTGAGCAGTTTGGCGAACCACCTGTTGGAAGAAATCTTCTTCCAACAGCCTTTTGTTTTTCCCACCTCACGGGGTTAATCCTGTCAGGAAGGCAGGAAGGAGGCATTTTGTTGTGTCTGTGTGTGTTGTTTCTAGCCTAATCCTGCTTATCTTTATTGCCCTGCTTAAGTGTTTTCCAAAACTGCCTCTGCGGTTAAATCTTGTTACATTGTAACAGCCATTAGTGGTTATTGGCAGTACACCCAGATTTTCTATAGCCTGAGTGGCTTCTCTGGAATTTTTTTTCCCTTGCTGGTACTTTTATTCCAGGGCTTGACTTTTTTAAAGGGAAAGGATTGTTTTACGTTTTTTACACTGCTTTAGTGGTTCCTGGCACTGTTCTTTTGGGGTGTATTTCCAACATGGCTGAATCCCCTCCCAGCCACTCCTTGCCTCCTTTGTCCCCTATTAAGGGTGGGAGAGGGAGATTGGGGGCCTCTTTCTTCCCTGGATCAGTAATCTTCTCTAAATGAAGTGATCTGGCTAGTCTTTGGCTTCTTTGTCTGTTTGTTACCCAAAACAAGGGCTTCTGGAGGTCTTCTCCCCTCCCTCCACTGATGGGAAAGCGATGAGTTAATATTTTCAGACCCCCATTGCTTGCCTGATCAAATTAAGCAATGGCTGAGAGGCAGGATGCAAGCTTGGCACTCTGATTTTTTTACTGCCTTTCTGGGGGCATGTGATCTTTCCTTAAATCTGGATGATTTCCTCAGGATATCATGTGAAGTGAATGAGACCAGCCGGTATCTTTAAGTTGTGCAAATGGATCTAAAGACTGCTTCTCCTGGGTGGGAAAGGGTGCTTTGTCAGTTCACTGAGCACAGGAGTCTCTTCTCTATGGGGATTCTTCAGTCATCCAGGTCATGGTTATCCCAAAGTTGCTTTTTCAAGAGGCAACTGGACTTTCTTGGTTTCGAGAAAGTCCAGTTGCCTCTTGAAAAAGCACCTTTGGGACAGGAGTCTCTTGCATTGCTTTGGAGTGGCCAAGGCACATGATTGCTCACTGATAGTAAGATTTTAAAAATATAGGAGGTAGGGGTATGGATCCTCCCTCCAATTCATTTTAGTTTTCTCTCATGATAATAAGGCTTAGAAACAAGGCACTAGGCTTGAAGTTTATTTAGATATCTGTGACATGTTCTAATTTTATTGTGATACTGACAAGCTTGGGAGGGCAGAGACTTGAACCTGGTTCCCTATATACTTTGTTAATTGGTCTCTTTAGCTCAGCATTTTGTAGCCCAAATATGCCCACCCACTTTCTGGAAAGTTTAAATGACCTCTGTGCTAAAGACTTTCACTTTGTGAGCAAGAGTTGGCTGCTGATAGTTATCATTGCATTTTAATTATTTTAATACCTTAAGGTGCTCTGGCAACCTGCCTGATTTGTAATTCCAGGTATTACAAATCAGGTATTACAAATTGCAGGTATTGCTGATGAAAAAGAAGGTATTCGAACAGAATGGTTTAGGTTTCCATGATGGCTGTGACTGTCATTGATTTTCAATGTGTATTCCCCCATTTATAACCTAATGATTGGTATTTAGGGCAGCTTTTTGCAAGCAAAGAAGCTTTTTGTATTTTTGTACAGGTAACCCTTGACTTATAACAGTTCATCAGTGACCATTCAAAGTTACAATGGCACTAAAAGAGTGATTGATGATTGTTTTTCACACGACCGTTGCAGCATCCCCACGGTCATATGATCAAAATTCAGATGGTGGACTGATCTGTCCACCATCTAACTGTCACACATTTATGATGGTTGTCATCTCCCAGGGTCGTGTGATCCCTTTTGCAACCTTCTAATAAGCAAAGTGAATGGGGAGGCCAGATTCACTTAACAGCTGTGTTACTAACTTAAAAAGTGCAGTGACTCACTTAACAAATGTGGCAAGAAAAGTCGTAAAATGGGGCAAAATTCACTTAATAAATTTCTCACTTAGCAACATAAATTTTGGGCTCAATTGTGGTTGAAAGTCGAGGAGAGGTCAGGCAAAGCGAGGCAGGCATGACAAGGAGGAGTGGCTGGGAGGGGAGGGGAGGGGAGGGGAGGGGTGAGGCGGGGCTGGGCTGGGCATGGTGAGAAGAGGAGAGGCCAGGCAAGGCAAGGTGCCCCTCGACATGAGTGACATTGAGTTGGTCACACCCACCCAGTCACATGACCACCCAGCCATGCCTACCCAGCCAGTCATTAGGGCAGAGAACCGGTTGTTAAATTATTTGAATCCCACCACTGATCTTATTCCTTGTAAATTCTTCATGGATTTTTGCTAATTAAGATTGAACGATGAGGATTTATAAATTGTCATAGATTAAAAGATAAAATATGGGAAGAAGAGGTCTTTCTTCAAAATGTTACAGAATATAGTTATTAATAACTTTTTGAATGTACTTGTCTTAAGTGATTTTTTTTCTTAATATTTTTTTCTTTCCTTGTAGTTTTACTTTTTCATTTTATATTTTTCTTAATTGGTATTATTTTTATATTTTAAATTTTTAATAAAGTTATTATAAAAAAACATCCAAATGAAATAGCTCTCATGTCCTTAGAACTGAAACCTATTCAATGGAAGATTTCAAGCAACACACAAGAAGTCCCATATACTTCTCCTGCATATATAAACATTTGCATGATGCACATGAAGCCAAAATTTTGGAGCAGATTGGTTTACTTACTTTTAACCTGTAAACTTCATATGAACTCTGATCTACATAAGGAGTTATAGCCAGGTCAGTTATACATATCAGGATACCAGATAATGCCATGATAGCACTTGTGATGTTCATTCCTATACTGGATTTCACCTGAAACAACAATAAATCAGAAGGAGAGAAATTAGTGTCAACCTAGATATTATTAAATTCAAGCCATAAAGATTATTACACCCAACTATGGTAAAATCTATCTATGTATGTGCTTAATGGTGCCTAATACATCAGTGGTGAAACCAGACAACTTCCCTTAGACTCTCCCTCCCTCCCTCCCTCCCTCCCTCCCTCCCTCTTTCCCTCCCCTCTTCCCTGTGTCCCTACTTCTCATTCCCATCTCCTTCCTTCCTTCCTTCCTTCCTTCCTTCCTTCCTTCCTTCCTTCCTTCTTCCCCCTCTAACTCTGCTATCTCACCAAAAAGTGATTTCCCACTGATTTCTGGGAATAAAGCTCCCTGCTCTATAATTTCTGAGCTGAAAGGAGGCATTCCAAGTAAGAATTAGTATGAAAGTGCCTGATTTTCTCAGAGAACTACTTCACACTCTTCGTAGCAAGGAAGAGGGAAGAGAAAGAGAGAGAGAATCAGAGTTGATGATGTTACACAGCTACAGTACCACAGAATAGCATGGGACAACTAGCTGTGGCCAACCCAAGGTAGCCAACTTGCTGTGGCAAAATTCACCACAGCCAACTATTATTAGACGTATATTTTGCCTTGTTTTTTATACAGCACGCGTTGGTATGCATCAGGCCCCTACTTCTGTTTTCCCACAGCAGCAACCTTGGTAGGTGGGTTGGGCTGACAGGAGAAGTACATGCCTCTGGGAGAACTAGAACTCACAGCCTCCTGGCTTCTAGTCCAGCACCTTAAACACTACAATAAAGATGTCAGCCACGCTTTATCTCTAGGCTACACTTTTATTGGGAGTGTAGCACTCCCATAGCTCTTTATCCAGAGTTGTTGAAGCTTTACAACCAGTGCAAGATTTAGACCTGGGATATGTATCGTAATTCATTTTTCAGTAAGAATAGAGATGTACAATGAGGCTTAAGAAAAAAGGAAAGGATCTTTAGTGTTGAGTGTTGTTTAAGATGGAGCCATTGCCTAGTTCTGGAGTGCAGCTCATTAATGAGTTTTTGAAAAGTGGGTAGGTCAAGGCTTCATCAACATTTAAATCTCTCTATCTATTTTGATTTGTTGCCCAACACCTAATCCTTTTTCCAAAGTCCAATGTAGTTTCCCTACCATTGGCTAAAGGCTAAAAACAATAAATGGGACCAGGTCAATAAGTAAGCTTTATGAGGGAGCAGGGATTTGAACCTTGGAGTGAGCAGGACTGTGAACCGTCCCTATGATTAATAAGAGAGGGCTGGTCCTCTCATGCCCAGCAACTCGGTGGTGCATTTCAGCATTGGTACAGAGCTTTTCCTTTCTCATTAAATAACCAGAATTCATAGCCATCTTTTGTATCTCAATCTTGAGGAAATAAGGGATTTTTTTGTAGCCTGTGAATATAAAGAACTATGCTTAATAGAAGGACTATGTCTAATATCCACACATTTTCACTTATCAGACCACTTTGCAGCCAATTCTATTCTAGAGAATCTCATCCTTGGGAAGTCTCAACCTCTCTGTAAAATCCATGCACCCAGAGTTTGTTGTCTTTCTGGCCTTTTCAGCTTCGTTTTGAAATGGATTCAAAAGAACATGAAGCAAAAGCTCTATTATAGTTTCTCCTTTCTTCCTTCCATCCTTCCTCCCTCCCTCCCTTCCTCCGCACCCAGGAAATGACGAGGAGAGGGGGAGAAGGTGGTAGCGCTGCCAGTGGATGTAGCTTTCCCACATAGGGGTGGGATGGGAGGTTGGGTCAGGGGCTATCCTGGTGAAAGGGAAGTGCTTACAGGTTGTAACAGTAACAGGATTGAAAGGGACCTTGGAGGTCATCTAGTCCAACCCCCTGCTCACACAGGAGACCTATACTAGGGATTCGAACCACCGAACTTTGGGGGCAGTGGGCCATGGAGGCAGTGAAGGCACTGGTGGCGCACCCACTGCATGGCTGGCATGCAGCTGACCTTTGATAAGCACCGTCTTGCCCCAGCAGCAGCACTGTGCCCACCACCAGTGCCCGGCTGGGATGGGACGGAATGAGATCGGGCTAAGGTGGTGGCGGCTGCCACCTTGGTGTCTCCAGGGCAGCCCTGTAGGCCAGGGATGGGTTCTAAATTATTTTACTACCGGTTCTGTGGGTGTGGCTTATTTTGTGGGCGTGGCTTGGTGGTCATGTGACAATTCTTTAGGATTTAGCAGAAGTACTGGTCTACCAGGCTTTTAACTGCTTGCAGAGCTGTACCCATCTACCCATTTATTTTTGCAGGCACCGGTCTACTCATGTATTTTTGCAGGCACTGGTCTATCCATTTATTTTTGCAGGCGCTGGTCTACTCATTTGTTTTCTTTTAACACTGATCAGCTGTAGGGCGGCCCTTTGAAGCCCCGCGGCAAGGGTTTAAACAGTTTTTCCCCCTCTAGCCGATCAGCTGGGACTCAGGAGGCAGCAATAGATTGGGGGTGGGGCCAAATAAAAGGTAAGAATAACGTGGGGGAGGTGGGGGGTGGGGGGCAGAACCGGTTCAGTGACATCATATCGTCACCACTACCAGCTCGGCGGAACCGGGCCAAACCAGGAGGAACCCACCACTGCCGCAGGCCATATCTAAACACACCGCAAGCTGGATCTGGCCCATAGGCCTTGAGTTTGACATGTCTGCACTACTGACAGGCCCTGCAGTACTGCAGGTTGCACATCAGGAAGGGAACTTAGGTAGAAGCCCATTGCAAAAAGGCAGGTTCTAATTCTAACAGTATGAGGGTCTTGAATGCTTTTGAAAAAACAACATAAAAGAAATTCAGACACCATATACTTTCTCACCAAAACACGATTTTGACTATTTGCAGCTGTTATACATAATGATCCAGAAGAAATGAACTATGGAAAAAGAAAAAGAAAAAAAATTATTGTAATCCACTGCAAAAAGATCAGAAAAATCTGGGACCCAAGGCAATATATTATTTTATATATGGTTATTTTTTTTAACTTTGTGAAGTCAGCCTGAATTGTTTTGGATTGGGCAGCCTAGAATATTAATAAATATTTCCTCCAACCCCTGCAAAAAGAGACCTATATCATCCTTAAAAGAGTTTAAGACTCATAGGAAAAAGAACTTGGATGTCGGGAACTTGTAGAAAACCCGTAGCAAAATGGCACTCTTTGTCTTAAATGCACCAGCCACTCTCAACAAGTTGGGCAGGGAACCCAAATACTGGAGGAACTATGCCAAGGGGAAAAGAGGGAGGAGAGAAAACTCCAAAACAGTCTGATGAAGGTGAGCATAATCAATCCTTAGGGAACGCTGGAATGAAGCAAAGTGAGGAAAATTCTGGAGCTGGTTGCTAGGATTCCATATTAGAGAAAGTCCTTCAGCTTCCACTCAGATATGCCAACTGAGAACTTGGATGCATCCCTTGAGACACTAGAAGAGACCTCAATATTTCTGCAGCTTATTTTTTTTTAAGTAAATCAGATCACTATGTTTCCAAAGAAGGGCACCGTGGCTCAGTGGCTAAGACCCTGAGCTTGTCGATTGAAAGGTTGTTAGCAGTTTGAAAGCACATAAAAAATGCAAGTAGAAAAATAGGAACCACCTTTGGTGGGAAGGTAACAGCATTCCATGCACCTTTGGCGTTTAGTCATGCCGGCCACATGACCACAGAGACATCTTCAGACAGCACTGGCTCTTTGGCTTTGTAACGGAGATTAGCACCACCCCCTAGAGTTGGGAGTGACTTGCACATATGTGCGAGGGGAATCTTTACCTTTATGTTTCCAAAATATGGCTTCCAAATATTATTTCAGTCTTCAGATTCATTAAAATATTTTCCTAATTTCTTTAGGCAACATTTGAGAGCCTAATATATTCTTGTGGGATAGTAATGAGTTCTCATCGGTTACTCAGATGTCTTTTTTTCATCCCCTTGGGCCATCTCTCATAATGGCCCCCCTCTTGGGATTTCAACGAAACATGAGGAAGTCAGGAAGGCTGCAGTGCAGACAGGACTTTGATAGGTACCCTCAATAAATAAATACATTGGAAAAGTCCTTGAGACATGAATCTGCATCGTAGGTACCTTTGTGTGTGACTTCATCCAAACAACCAAACTTTCTTAAAGAATGTTTACTGTCAATATGTCGATGAAGATTCTCAGTCATTCAGGTAGAGTTGCCTGGAAGTTGAATCATGGAAACTGAACTTTTTAAAAAAAAATAAAATAAAAATTACATCATTCATACTGAAGAAGCTACTTGGATCAGCAGCAAAACATTTCAAATCAAAAGTTCAGTTACGACTCAACTTCCAGACATTAATGTCAATAAGTTAACTAAGAAAGTTAACATATTCACATTATGTATGTATGTATGTATGTATGTATACCACACAGAAATTGTGCATGACTGAACAGGAATTTGCACATACTTACAAATATCCCTCCCCAAAAAGGGTAACCTCCAACTGTAGTCACGCCAGGACTGGGAGGAGGAAGACTAATTACGACAGCCCCAAAGGCAATGTGCAGCAACCCAATCATAATTTGGATGGCCTATGGAAGGAAAAAGTAAAAAATAAGGCATTTTGTTCTCGTAATCCGAGAAAGACAATCATTCTAATCTGTTAGCAACCCAGGAAAGGCATCATTTTCTATCCATCTTTGAAAGGTCCTTCAAAGGGGTTGGAGCTTCTAAGTTTGCAGTGCAGGTGTTGACTGGTTTCCTATGGTGGAAAAATCCAACTGGGGAGAAGGGACAGTTTGAGACACCCACAACAATATATGATGGACAATGATTCCAGATTATGATTGACAATGGGACTGCTCTTGTCAGGAAGAAGGCCTGTAAGAATATTAAGATGGGCCTTTGAGAGAGGAATGTCACTTACAAGTCATTTCTCTACAGACTCCTATGCAGGAGGAAGTTAAGCACAGTTGCAAGCACAAAGCCACTTCAACTGGCTTGGGCTGGAACCAGTCTATGACCAAGAATTCTTTCCCAAGAATTGTACTTCTAAGAGTGAAAGGAGAAAAAGAGATCTGGCTGACACTGTGGCTGAGCTCCATGTTCTTAATTAAACAGCAAAGAAAAGAAATGCATATTTAAGTTAGAATTTTTGGTAGAAACACAAATGAAACTACCAGGAAGAACAGAGGTTTCTGGATTATACTCTAGAATCATACAATGCTCAAGCCAAGATCTAGAATTTTAGGATGGGGCTCACAGGTCTCAGCACAGCTTGAAAAATACTGATATTATATTGGTTTTCAAACAGGCACATAACAAGCATACATACCCCAAATACTTTGGTCTCAGCATTGAGGAAATCCTGCAAAGGATTCTTTTGGAGGACTTGCTGAGGAACACTGGTGGAAGCACCAAGTTGTTGAGCTCCAAGCTGAGGATATGGAGTTGCTCCAGATGCCTGAAGAGCAACACTGGGCAACCCAGAGGGTGTTTGGATGTTTGCTCCTTTAGAGGGCATGACAACTGTGTTTCCACTGGCCATTTTTGCTGGAAGTATTGCCACAACTAAGTTACCTACAAACAAACAAGCAAGGATAAGTTAAAGGAAACAAAGTCTGATCCTTTGCCTTAATCTCAGTTTACGAGCTAACATTTGCCTGCAGTAAAACTACAGAAGACTGGCAGAAGGTTTCAGAAAGCAGGGAAGTAAATGCACAGAACTGTCTCAGGAAGGAAAAATTAATCATGAGGATGAAGGATTGTCTTCTTGCTTACATGCCAACATTCAACGCAAAAGGTGTCTGTTTCATTCTAGCACCACCTCAGATCCACCCAGATAAATGGCATCTCTCACACTGGCAAAGTTTTATTGTGATTGCTTTCCTGTGCTTTTAATAGCAGGTGAATCTAAAAGCATCAGGTGTGGATAATCATGTTGATTACCATCTTCCAGCAAGCTCTTACAGATTTGGATAGAATAAGTAACTGTGAATGACAGTATCCGTATCCCAGTTTTGCTTCTTGGATGTGGGGGAGTTTCTTACCAGAAGTCAACTGGAGCATCAGCCTAGGTTTCCTAACAAAAAATGTGGACAACCCCAGAAATTAGTGAAGTGATACAGTAAAGTCCCAGCTGCTCTCAACATCTAGCAGCCCTCCAGATGTTTAAAACCCAGACCCAATAGCCTGAATTAGGATTTGTACATCCCTTAAGGCTTAAGAGGAAGCGGCTTCCCATTCTTGAGCTGTACAAAATTAATTGGAAAGCGACCCACCCACCTCTGAATGGTGGACTTCAAATATTGTACCCTTATAGGTTTACCCAGTGCCTGTGTGTGTATTGGGTGCTTCCATCACACAAAGACTGACTGCAAACTCTTTTCTGTCCACTGATTCTCCTCTAAAAGGCTCCCATCTAGAAGACCTGCCTGACTGGGAAGATCACGGATGGATGGCTGCAGGGGAGAACCGACAATCACAGCATTGGATAATCAATCACAGAATTAATTCTATATTATTATTTTTAAAAAAACGTAATCAGAATCTACTTACCACAACCATCGAAAATGAGGCACACTGAAGCATCTGGGAAAATGAAAGTAATGTACGGGAACAAAAGATGGGTGGGACTGCCTCACCTAATAAAAAAGGAGGACTTTAATCAGACAGTATCTGCTTTTGCCTCTTCAACTAGTGCAGCAAAGAACAGTTCCGGGCCAGGAACCTTCTGTTTGCTCAGGGATGAGAGGAAAACTTTCCAAGTTTACAATGCCCTATTATTCCCAGGGTAAAACAAAACACTGAAATCAAACGCACCACTCAACATCTCTTCGGTTTCTCCCAAAGTACGCAAGTCCTGCACTTGGTGGGACTCATTTTCAAGCCTTCGGAGTCTTCTACAATCTTTGCAGGAACCACCAGAAATAGAAAGGAGAGGACGCACAACTGCCATCACACCCTCCAAGTCCGTCCGTCCATCCGTCCCCATCTCCCCCCCCCCTTCCCCCCTGAGCTCTTTATCTAGACCAGAGGTCGCCAATCTTGGCAACTTTAAGCCTGGGGGACTTCAACTCTCAGAATTCCCCAACCACCAAAGCTGGGAGTTAAGTCCCTCAGGCTTAAAGTTGCCAAGATTAGCAACTGATCTAGACCTGACCTAGACCTCATAACAGCGAGATTTTTTCTTTCTTTCCCCTTTGCCCTTTTAGCTTTCGGCTTGCTGGTAGATCCCCACTTCAATTGCTCTCCTCGCAAAGCTCTCCTCACCTCGAGCAGAACGTGTGAAGAGACTTCTAAAAGTATCCTCAAGTCGAAAAGTATAGAACCCACTTCCCAAAAATTAGTCCGTTGGTTCAGGGAGGTCGGAGGCAGAGTTTCAGTGCAGCCACTTCCAGTGGTGGGATTCAGCCAGTTCGCACCACTTCGGGAGAACCGGTTGTTAACTTTCTGAGCAGTTTGGCAAACTGGTTGTTGGAAGAAATCATTAGGGCAGAGAACCGGTTGTTAAATTACTTGGTGGCCAGTGGTGGGAATCAAGTAATTGATTATCATTCTCGGGGAGCTGCAGGTGGCCCAGCTGACCCTTTAAATGCAACGAAAGAAGAATAAAACCTTTTTTGGGGTTTGATGTTTCTTTCCTCCTTTTCTTTCCTCCTTTTTTTCTAGCTTTTGGTCCATTAATCCCGAAGGAAAAGCTCCGGTTTTCATTGTATCTTAATTTTACAAATCTTTTGAATTTGTGTATTTATAGATATCTAAAAAATGTTATTAGGGGACGTGGTGGCTCAGTGCCTAAGACCCTGAACTTGTCCATTGAAAGGTCGGCAGTTCAGTGGTTCAAATCCCTAGTGCCACGTAACAGGGTGAGCTCCCGTTACTTGTCCCAACTTCGGCCAACCTAGCAGTTTGAAAGCACGTAAAAAATGTAAGTAGAAAAATAGGGATCACCTTTGGTGGGAAGGTAACTGTGTTCCGTGTGCCTTTGGCATTTAGTCATGCCGGCCACATGACCACGGAGACATCTTCGGACAGCGCTGGCTCTTCAGCTTTGAAACAGAGATGAGCACCGCCCCCTAGAGTTGGGAACAACTAGCATATATGTGGGAGGGGAACTTTTACATTTACCTAAAAAATGTTGGCATTTTCACCATATATGGTAAAATGTCCCTTCATGAGCTTTATCTTTCCGGCATACATTTGAAGTACCTTTATAGCTTCTAGAGACAATTTGTCTGGTAAGAAATGCCAACAATCCATTTATTTTATCAAAACTCTCTTAACTACTGTACCATAATATGAATTTCAGTTCCTTCCACCTTATATTTTCTCACTTAGCCTTTTGTATATTGCAATTTAAAAATTATCATACATTCCTTCACTTGTTGGACCTAGATTGTTGGGGACAATATGCTGACTTTGTAAAACAATTTAGGGCTGTAAAGCACTGTGGAGCGGTATACAAGCCAAAGTAATATTGCTATTGTTCGTCTGTCTCAAATTTCAACAAAAGTTTATACTACATAGAAATAATATATTCATCATTTGTACATGTTTTTATTTGAAACTCAGTCTTGTACTATTCAAAATCATAAAATCTCGCCAATTTCTTTTGGGAGATTTTGGGCAGAAGGCTCTTTCTTTGTCTAGAATATGCATGAACAAATTTACAAGGGACTATAAACCTGTGAACTGGGCTTTTCTATAATCAACTTCATCCATACTGGATATCTGCATTTTAATTCTTAACAATGAAAAAGAGTGTTGATGGTAACTAAAAAAAAATATTGATTTAATTTCCTGTGAGATTGATTTATATGCCTGAGGGGGAGGAAGGAACTGATAATCTTGTCACCACGCCTATAACATGTATTTCAACCTTTGTATTTTAACCTTTTAATTGCCATTCTGAACTGTTAAACCATTTTTTTTTCTAGATTTACTTAGTTGCTTTGAAAACTGCATCCACTTGTTCCTGCTGGAGAGTGAATGCACAGCCAGTTTGTTTCATTAAACTGTGGAGAAAAGATGGCAAGGGCTGCTTCTAAAAAAGTTGAAACAGTTTGGAGAGAAAAAAAATTGCTGCTTTAAATGGGCCAGGAAAGTTCTGGTGGATTTTACATTGCCATATTGCTTTTAAAAAGCTACGTTGTTTTAAAATATAGAGAAACGTAAAGGAAACCTGGTAGCCCAAATGACCATCCTGTTGAGTTTGGATTCTCTGGATCTGTTCCAAAAAATTTGTGTGTGTGTGTGTGTGCGCGCGCGCGTGTGTGTGTGTGTGCTTTTTATGCAATAAAGTTTACTCTCAAGAGCAACAGTGCATTTTAAAAAGGCAATGAGCCCAAAATGCACACAAACCTAAGTCAGACTCTTATAGATCCCTGGCTTCCTCTAAGAGTGCTGAGCTGTTACTTTTTTTTTTTTTTTAATTTGATTTATATGCCGCCCTTCTCCGGAGACTCAGGACGGCTTACAATGTTGTAGGAAGGGAACACCACCAAGACAGTGTCAAAACCTCATCAACTCATGAAGGGGAAAACCCAGACATAAGGAAATGACCTTCCCAAAATAGAACACATAGATATCAGAGTCAGATAGAATTAAAAAGGAAATCCCAGGAAACGATACACAAAGACTCTAGACAAGATCAGGAAAGAAACTATTAACAGCAGAATAAAAACAAAAGGTATGGCAGGGGATTAACCAAGGAAAAGATTTAATCAATAACCCAAAGCAATATGATAAGAGTCAAACCGGGGGTAAGGGCTTACCAAATAATAACATGATCATCTTAAGGGAGGAAGCAAATAATGAATCAGGAGAAAACAAAAGAATACCAAATCAGATATGTATGTATGCTTACCTGGTAAAGATGTGAGCTCACCCAGGAACGCTGGTCTGCGACATCGCTCGATCTGACTTCCTGAAAAATAAAGAAAACTTGCTTTCACGCAGCTTGCTTCTCTCGCAGTTTTGCGCGGCGCCGGAACGCTCTCCCAGCCGGGAAATTCGAATCCTCGGGGGGGGGGAAAACCTCTCCTACATTCTAACAATTGGCGACCACGAAGAATTCCCAGCCAACCCAGCCACCGGACGGGGCCTGGAGATTCATCCCAGCCGGCACGGACCACTTTGTCCGGGAAAAATCCACGGACCCTGCCCGGAGGTGTCGGGTAGTAAAGGGAGTTTTGAGCCTTTGCCTCAACAGCTGCTTGAAAGCAGGTAAGTACCGCTTTAAATTACAATAAAATCCCTAGAATACGGGGCGTATGAGAGTGTGTGAGTGAGTGTGTGCATGTGGGATTTCACCTGGACAGCAGCCTGATCCTACCCCTTTGAACGATCCCTAGCCGCACCTCTGCCTACTGCTAGCTCCACCGAGCCGTGACCGGTAGAACAGAGAAAGCAAGGGGGGATCACCAAATGTAGGACTTTCTGCCTAACAGGGAACGAAAGCCGAGCGAATAGAAGCGCGTGGAAGGGGGAAATAAATTGCGAGAGGGAATCCCAGTGTACGTCTCAGAAGGTGCAAAGCCCAGACACGGAGATAGTGTGAGGAGGGGCCAGTACTCACTGCTGGGGTCAGCAGGTCCTCCCAGATCCCCTTTTTGGATCTGAAAACTGTGGCGAGTTCCCTACGGAAGGGGCCCATACTTCGTAAGGGAATCGAAGTCCTTCCCAGAGCTTTTTTCTCTGCAAACTTGAGGCGGGCCACCCGGCTAAGTCGAAGTGATCCTTCAGGTGAAAAGACAGGGTCATGGGTAGCGGTAGTTCGCGGGTGGCAGGAACCCCGATTGGAGAGTTGCTCGAGGCCTGGGACGCCAGGCGGATGCCCATTTTAAATGGCATGGATCGAAAACGAGCGGAAAAATTGTGTCAAAAGTGGGCTTTGCTTAGAGACGAAAACGGGAAACAAATTTGGCCTGATAGCGGTACCTTTGATATAAAAAATCCTAAAAGCACTTAGACCCAGACTAAAGCCCAGCCACATACCCTATTGGTATTGCTGGGCCGAACTAGCTAGGAATAAGGAATCCTTCATAAAAAATAACACATAAGATAAAGAAACAGCTAGAGAAGCGAAGATAATGGCCCCCTTAATAAGCAGACCCGTACCAGGGAGACAGAGGGGCGAAACTGACTACATTCTAACACACACACCCTTTTCGGCCTCAGATTTAGTAATCTGGAAGAAAGATGCCCCAACCTTCAGAGCAGACCCCCAAACAGTGATCAGGACCCTAAAAACCATTATAGATAGCCACAATCCATCATGGGGGGACATGAACCAACTACTGCATGTTTTTTTGACAAAAGATGAGTTGTTAAAACTTTTTGAAAAAACGGATCAGATTGCTAAACCACCGGTCATAAGGGTCCCGGGTCAGGCTACCCGCCCCAGGGTCGCCTGGCCCCTTGAGAACCCAGAATGGAACTATAACGATGACACCCACTGGGGCACTTATACCAGGGCAAAACAAAACCTACTGGAAGCCCTGGAAGAGATCGGGAAAAAACCCCTGAATTGGTCAGAATTCCAGCGAGTTACCCAGAGGGACCAAGAGAACCCCGATGCCTTCTGGGTCAGGCTTATAGAGGCAGCCACAACTTACGC